TCGGGGAGGGGTACCCTCCCCCTGCTCTCCCTGAGGTTGTTTGGGGTTTCTCGCCTTTTCGAGTCCGATGCGACATTGAGACCTCACGATGGCCTTAAGATGGCCCAAGAAGGCCCGAGAGGGGCTGAGGAGGCCCCCGAGGCGGCCCCAAGAGCGCTCAAGAGCGGCCCAAGAGCGCCCCAAACGGCGATGTTGATGGCTCCAGGGGGGGACGACGGAAATCGGGGGCCCACCCTTCTTTGATCGATAGCCTCCAAGATTGCCTCAAGAGGCCCTCCAGGGCTCCCAAGAGGGCCCCAGGGCGGCCCCAAGTGCGCTCAACAGCGTCCCAAGAGCGTCCCGCGAGGGCCCCACGAGGCGGGTTGCCTCCTCCTCCTCCTCCTCCTCCTCCTCCTCCTCGTCCTCGTCCTCTTCCTGCTCCTCCTCCTCCTCCTCCTCCTCCTCCTCCTCCCTTCGTCCTGATTCTCCATGGATCCGCTGAACTTTGCTTCGCTGTATGTGCCTCTCCGTCCCATGTCCCGTCAACTCTCACAGGCATGGTTTTTGAACGGGCTGGAGGGGATACGCGACGCGCGAAGAGTTATGGTTTTCTAGCGACTGGTGGGGAGTGCGTAGGCTATGTGGTGCAACCATGTGGTGTAAGCAATGTGGTGCAAGCCATCTGGCGTAAGCCTAGTGGTGCAGACTATGTGGTACAGGCTACGTGGTACAAACTACGTGGTGCAAGTTATGTGACGGAAGCCTATAGGGCCCAGGTTGTGCAGCGTGCGTGGCGCAATCTGCGTGGTGTGAGCCCTGTGGTGCCCGCTGTGTCGTGCAGTCTCCGTGGCGCAGGCCGTCGGGACGCCCACGATCGGCGCTGGACAGACCTCCCTTTCGTAGACCCTGGGCATCGCTCGGACGTCCATTCCCTGTGTTTTTTTGGTTTTGTGCGCGGTTTTTTCGCCAGATCATCAAGGATGCTCCTCGATGGTCCTCGCCGAAGGAAACATGCACACGCCCGAGCGATGCCAAGAGACCTCCCCTCAGTGACGCCCGCGAGCCGAAAACGGCCACTTCACTACTCGACGCGTCAGGGTATAGGAGGCCCGTCCAGCCCCGACGCGCGGCGCCCACGGGGCGGGCCCCGGGCGGAACCTCGGGCGCGGGGCGCCCACGAGGCCGGCCACGGGCGAGACCCTGGCGCGGGGCGCGCCCGCGGGCGGGCGCACAGGGCAGGACCGGGGCTAGGCCCCCTCGGCGCGCGGGGGCGCCCTCGGGCGCCGCCGAGAGGCCCGCAGCAGCTGCCTGCGGGCACCGCGGCGCCGCCTCGGCGACGCCGCGCCCCCCCCCCCCCGCCAGACGCATGGGCGCCCACCTGGGGCGCCCGCGGGCGGGCCCGCGGCGACGCCGCGGCAGCCCCCCCCCCGCCCCCGAGCGCGGGGCTCCCGCGAGGCGCCCCAGGGGGCGCCCCCACGGGTGGGCACCGGCCGAGCACCCGGCAGGCCCAGGCAGCTGTTCGAGCACGGCAGGGTGAGAACCCCCGAGGGGAGCCTTGTCCCGTTCGGCGTTGCGACACTGGGCGGAGGGGTCCGGCCGAGCACCCGGCATGCCCAAGCAACTGCTCGAGCACGGCAAAATGAGAACCCCTAAGGGGAGCGTTTTCTCGTTCGGCGTTTCGACACTGGGCGGAGGTGTGTGTGTGTGTGTGTGGAGGGGGGGATCTCTGGCCTCGGATCTCTGCTTAGTGCGACTGTCTGCAGCAGTGCGTCCTGTGGGGGAGACACCACCTGCTCGAAACAGGCGCCCCGAACAGCCAAGATCTGATCCAAGGGGGGCACAAGGGCCCGCGCCGATCGGCAAAACGGGGAACAAAACGATCACCTTAAGTGCAAGCACTGTTTGGGTAATGTGGGACATCAATGATGTTTGCATTCTCATATGCTTGCTTCTGATGGGCCTCTCAAGCCCCAAAATGGCCCAAGAGAGCCCCAAGAGGAGCCCAAGAAGGCCCCAAGACGGCCCAACTAGCGCTCAGAGCCCCCCTTCCGGCCCAATGCACCTCCAAGACTGCCCCAGGGCGGCCGAAGACGGCCCAGAGATGCGCCCAAGACAAGCTCCGAAGGCGTCACACAGACCAAGAGCGCCTTCCGACAGCCCCCCGAACCCCCAAGACGCGCCCAAACTCCCCAAAAAAGCCTCCGTGAGGCCCCAAAGGCCGCCAAGAGGCCGCCAAGGCCTCCTCAAGAGGCCCCAAGAGGCCCCAACATGCGCCGACAAGCCACTTCATGCTCGTCGTCGTCATCGTCGTCGTCCTGCTCCTATTCTTCCTCCTCCTTTTTTTCCGTTGTCGCGACCAGCATCGTTCGCCTCCATGACGCCCTCACTATGCTTCAATAATGCCTCAAGATGGTGGCAAGACGGCCCCAGATGGCCACAAGACGGCGCACGACGGCCCAGATGGCTCCAAGCGGCCCAAGCTGGCTTCAAGACGACCCGAGAGCTCCCCGACCCACGAAGGCTCGAAGAGAACGTCCAGAGGCCCAAATCTTTGAAACACCTGAGATTTGTGTTTGACTTTGCATATGTTTGCAGTTCGGCCTCCAGTGCGTCCAAGATAGCTCCCCCCCCCCAAGAGGCCCACACCACGCCCCCAAATATTGCCCCATACGACCTAAGAAGGCCCCTAGACGGCCCCAAGATGGGGAGCCCCGAAGGGGCCCCAGGAGGCCTCCAGAGACCCCAAAGAGGCCCCAGAAGAACCCAAGGGTGCTCAGGAATACTCAAAGTATCCAAACAGTTATGCCCCAAGGGGGCTCCCAAGTGGCCTCGAGAGGGCTCCCAGGAGACCCTCCTGGAGTCCTTGGGGGCCCAGGGCCCGGGCCCCAAGAATACCACATTAGCGGGCAACTTTCCCGAAGGTTGGCCCGCCATGGTTCCCGCTCTGCGGGCTCAACGGGCTGCAGCGGAGGGCAGCAAGGCCAAATACCGTCGGGACCCAGACCCCCACCGGCTCAAAATCAAAACAGGCATCACGGCCTCATCTTTGCCACTTCCCATTGGCAGCCAGTTCACGCGCAGCAGGATGCTCTCCCAAGACAACTGGACCCCTTCCCAGGGACAGGCCTTTCATCACGAGTAGCTTTTTGACGGTCCCGAGTCCCCGGAAACCCCAAATCTGAAGGGGCCCTGGGACACACAAATAAATACACACAAATAGCAGGATTCCCCACATTTTCCAAGCATTTCCTGGGTGTTTGTCTTCCCCCCCACTTCCCATATTTTCCGATATCTTCGGTGAGATCGACGATTTCATGTGTCTGTGTGTGTGTGTGTGTGTCTATGTCTGTGTGTGTGTGTGTTTTTTCCCCCTCCTGAAAATCGTTGGTTTTCCCGCGGCGCCGCAGGGCACAGGGACAGCCCGGCCCCCGAGGACACACCGGCAGCAGCAATCGGGAGCGGCCAAGAGGGGGGTGTCCAAGAGGGGGGGGTGCAAATCATGACCGGCGGCATGTGCGCGGCCCAGCGGGGGGGCCAGGGACGTCATGAAATAAGAAGAGGCGTCATGAAATCTGGGGAAATATCATGGCCCACGCCATGATATCCACCTCCCCCTAGTCATCACCCCCCTCTTTTCCGCCCCCGAAGCCAGCAGCAAGCGAGCACGTCGGGGACGGGCCGGTCACAAAGGGAGGCCGGCCAGCGCTGCGCAGGGCAGGCGCGGGGGCCGAGGAGGAGAGCACGGAGGCACGAGGCCGTCGGGGGCAGCCCCGCCCGAGGAAGTCGGCAGCAGCGCAGGGCAGGGACGGGGGCCAACTGTGAACGGGCGAAGAAGAACGGTATAAAACAAACTTTTTCGCCGTCGGGGGCACCTGCCCCAGGGCGGCTGGAAAGTTGATACCCTTAGGGTGGCACCGTAGGGGTATAGACTTTCCAGCCGCCCTGGGGCAGGTGTCCCCGACGGCGGACAGTTTATCTTATACCGTTCTTCGCTCGCTGAAACTGGGCATCGCTCGGACGTCCATTCCCTGCGTTTTTTTTTTTTTTGGGATGTTCGGGGGGTCGTGCCGTTTTTTTTTTTTTTTTTTTGGACAAAGCATCCAGGATGCTCCTCGATGGCCTCGCCGAAGGGGAAACTGCACATGTCCGAGCGAATTGCCAAGCCCGGGGGGAGTCGGCGACGGGCCCATGCCACGGGGGAGGCCGAGGGCGGCGCGGAGGCCCAGCGCCGGAGCCGGAGACCGAGGGGCAGTGCGGCCCCGAGAGGCCAGCGGCATGGGAGGGCGGGCAATCCCCGCCCAGGGGTCGCAAAATCTGTGACAGTCACCAACTCTGAAACCGGGGCGTTTCGCGTCGAGATGAAGAATCCTTTCACCAAAAAAACGGCCGACGTACGTGCGTTCGTTTCGTGCCTTCAAACAACAACTCGCGCTCCTCAGTTCTTTGGACGTGTCGATTTGCGTTGATGCGTTCTCTCAAGAAAGGAACCAGCCTGGCCCAGGGGAGTTCGTGGCAGCGCAGGGCGAGTGTGAAGGGGCCCCAGGACACACAAATAAATACACACAAATCAAACTATGCCCCATATTTTCCCATATTTCCTGGGTTTCTGTCTTCCCCCCCACTTCCCATCTTTTCCCATATTTTCTGAGGAATCGAAGATTAATTGTGTCTGTGTGTTTTTTCCTCTCCTGAGAGCGCTGGGGCGGGAACCCTGCAAGGTCCGGATAAGACCTGCCAGGAGAGCTCGCGCCCCGCCCAAACCATCCGTATATTAGGCAGTCGACGCTGCACTGCTTCTGGATCAAGGAACCTGGCGACAACACCTGGGCCCGGGACCGTGGGGGACCTGGCCAGCCGAGGGAAACTGGCGCTCGCGGAGAGCAAACAGTGTGGGGAATGCTTGGAAGCTGATCCTTCCTGTGCTCCTTCTGGGGTGCTGCAGTATGAGGAACAACAATGGGAGGGGAGCCCCCCCCCCAGGGCTAGCCAAAGGAACACCAACCGGTTTCCAGACCGTTGTCCTCCACCACGCAGGCCGACGACCCCTGCTCGCCCGGCTCCTCTGCGAAGGCGAACCCAGTCGAGACGCGGTCCCTCACTGATCTGGGCCGCGACGGCGCCGAGCTGGCTGCCTCGCCCACGGACGCCGCGCCCGAGAACCGCACGCCCGGCTCCTCCTCGAAGGCGAACCCGGTCGAGACGCGGTCCCTCACCGATCTGGGCCGCGACGGCGCCGAGCTGGCTGCCTCGCCCACGGACGCCTCGTCCGCGAACTGCACGCCGGGCTCGTCCTCGAAGGCAAACCCGGTCGAGACGCGGTCCCTGACTGATCTGGGCCGCGACGGCGCCGAGCTGGCTGCCTCGCCCGCGGACGCCTCGCCCGCGAACTGCACGCCCGGCTCCTCCTCGAAGGCGAACCCTGTCGAGACGCGGTCCCTGACTGATCTGGGCCGCGACGGCGCCGAGCTGGCTGCCTCGCCCACGGACGCCTCGCCCGCGAACTGCACGCCGGGCTCCTCCTCGAAGGCAAACCCGGTCGAGACGCGGTCCCTGACTGATCTGGGCCGCGACGGCGCCGAGCTGGCTGCCTCGCCCGCGGACGCCTCGCCCGCGAACTGCACACCCGGCTCCTCCTCGAAGGCGAACCCTGTCGAGACGCGGTCCCTGACTGATCTGGGCCGCGACGGCGCCGAGCTGGCTGCCTCGCCCACGGACGCCTCGTCCGCGAACTGCACGCCGGGCTCCTCCTCGAAGGCAAACCCGGTCGAGACGCGGTCCCTGACTGATCTGGGCCGCGACGGCGCCGAGCTGGCTGCCTCGCCCGCGGACGCCTCGCCCGCGAACTGCACACCCGGCTCCTCCTCGAAGGCGAACCCTGTCGAGACGCGGTCCCTGACTGATCTGGGCCGCGACGGCGCCGAGCTGGCTGCCTCGCCCACGGACGCCTCGCCCGCGAACCGCACGCCCGGCGCCTCCTCGAAAACCGAGGCGCGCTCTCTCACTGGCTTGGCCCCCAACGCTGCTGAGCTGGCGGCCTCGCCCGGGGACGCCTCGCCCGCGAACCGCACGCTCCTGGCTCCCGCGGCCTCCTCGCCGCGCACGAAGCTGGTGGGCGTGCGCGTCCGCAGCGACCTGGCCTGCGGGGGCGCCGCGCTGGCGGCCTCCACGACGCTGTCCCCCGCCGCGAAGCGCACGCCGACGCCGACGCTGGCGCCCGTGGAGCCCACCGAGTCGCCCTGGTCGTGGGCAAAGCGTGTCGGCACGCGCGTCCTCAGCGCCCGCGCCCGCGCGGGGGCCGCGCTGGCCGCCTCGGCCACGGACTTCTCCGGCGAGAACCGCACCGTGCTCGGCGCCTCCAGGCCGGCCAGCTCCGGCGGCGCCGCGAAGGGCGTGTCCACGCGGCTGCGCGACGAGCGCCGCAGCTCGGCGCCGTGGCTGACCAGCACGGGGGAGGTGCTGACGTCGTCGGAGAACTGCACGGAGTGGGCCGCTGCGTGGGCGCCTCCGGGGGCTCCCGGGGCGGCCGCGCGGTGCCGCGAGGAGCGCCCGCCGCTGCCGACCGGCCGCGCGGCCTCGGTGCCCGCGCCCTCCGCGGAGCGCGCGGCGGGCACGTCGGCCGCGTCCTCCGCCCCGCCGGGCCGCGCCGAGGGGGCGGCGGTGCGCGGCCCGCTGCTGCGGCGGGGGCCATCGGCGGCCACCTCCCCGAGGAACGCCAGCGGCGCCTCGCTGGCATGCAGGAAGCGGGTCCACCCCCTCCTCCTCCTCCTCCTCCTCCTCCTCCTCCGCCTGCCTCCGGCCTCCGCCTCCGACTCCCCTCCGGCCCTCCTCCTCCCCTCCTCCCTCTCTCCTCTCTCTTCCTCCTCCTCCTCCTCCTCCTCCTCCGCCTCCTCCTCCTCCTCATCCTCCTCCTCCGCATCCGCCTCTGCCTCCCCTCGGCCAGTGGAACTTCAGGGTCCGTGGCCCTTGAGGGGGTGGCAGCTGCCAGCTCCCTAACCCGAGTCGTCTTTTGACCGCCCTCGTGGCCCAGGAAAAGCCCCGCGAAGGCCCCGAGAACGGGATAAGCCTCCAACTCCGCTTCGTCGGGGCCCCCGCGAGGGCCCCCGACGTCGTGATTTGTTCATCACGCCCACTCCCAGAAGTCTCGACCCGCTCCCCAGGATCAGAGTTTCGTCCTGAGTCGTTGCTTGACGGTCCCTGGGCCTGGCGAGGCCCCCCCAGGGGCCGAAAACAACAACAAAACGACGCAGCATTTTTTTCACGACGCGAGAGGGCCTGGGGAAGGACAATCCTGACCTCGGAACCGCCGCACTTGTGGCGATCCGAGAGGGCGCGATCTACCCGTCGCCTGACTGGAAGACATCCCCCCCCCTTCCAAAACCGAGGGGGGGGGAACCGCCCCTGCCAGGAAACCGGGGGGCGGGGGAGCGAAACGCGGGACAGAACGGGACACAACGCCCCCGCCCCACTGCGAACCGGGCGGGGGGGAAGGGTTCGGACTCCTGCTTCGAACTGGGGCGGGGGGGGAAAACGATCCCCTCCCCGCCCTCAGCTCGGACCGATTTTGAGCTTTCCTTGAGCCTTGCGTGAGCTGTGTCTGAGCTTTGTTTGAGCGCTGTTGAACTTTATCTGAGCTTGTTGGAGATTTGATTGAGCTTTGATTGAGCTTAGTTTGAGCTTTGTTTGATCTTTGTTGGAGTCTTGTTTGCGCTTTGTGTGAGCTTTGCTAGGATTGTTCAAACTTGTTGGAACTTTGTTTGAGCTTGCTTTTGAGCTGTTATTTTCAAAACAAAAATACATGTATGATTGAACTTAGTCTTAACTTTGTCGGAGCTTTGTTTGAGCTTGCAATCAACGATGCGAACAAGGCCCCAGCCGCGACCCACCCCGCGACCCACCCGCGACTCACCCGCGACTCACCCGCGACCCACCCCGCGACCCGCCCACGACCAACCCGCGACCCACCCGTGACCCACCCTCTTGCTTTGACGAAGAATTTGGCGCCTGCCGTGGGCTCGTTGTCAAAGTGAGGGGACGAACGGTCATTCAGTCCCTGGGTGCGTGGCTGAAATGGGATTCCACGGTGCAGATTGTTGGACGAAAACTTCTCTTCTGGGGTAGATCAATTCTGTGGCCGATCCCCAACAGGCAAAACGTGTATTGAAGACGGGCGGTAACGACGCAAGACCCTTGGAGGCCGACGTTGGGATGCTTGGGGCGGCGGGCGACCAGCGAAAACGGCAGAGGACGGGCCGCAGAGGCGAGGACACGAGTGCACCCCAGATGAAGGCGCGCGCCCTTCCTCGGTGCGCCGACTGTGTACTCGAGCAGTTTTTTCTTTGATTGACCCGAAGGGGTCAGAGCTCGCGCCCACACACGGCGCCTCGTCAGCGGGCCTGACTGACGGGGCCCTGGGACACACAAATAAATACACACAGATAAAAGAATTCCCCATATTTTCCAGTATTTTCTGGGTTTCTGTCTCCCCCCCCACTTCCCATATTTTCCCATCTTTTCCTGGGAGTCGACGATTCATTGTGTCTGTGTGTTTCTTTCCCTCCTGATTGACCTCAGGTAGCTGGGCGCCGTGGGCGTCGGCGTCGGGCGCCGGGGCTGGCGGCGCCGCCTCTGGGCGGCCCTCTGCCGCGTCCGCGAACTGCACGCCCGGGCGCTTCGGCCGGTCGGCCCTGATCGGGGGCACTGAAACCCACCTCCTCCTCCTCCTCCTCCTCCTCCTCCTACTCCTCCTCCTCCATCCCCTCCTCCTCCCCCTCCTCCCCACTCCTCCTCCTCCTCCTCCTCCTCCTCCTCCTCCTCCTCCTCCTCCTCCTCCTCAGATCGTGGCGCTGCAACTTTTTTCGCTTGACGGCGTCCGTGCTCGGCACCTCGACATGGGGCGGAAGGTGTGGGGGGTCCTGGCTCCGGAGCTCTGCTTTTTTCACGCGACGGTTTGCAGCAGTGCGCCCTATGGGAGAGACCCCATCTGCTTGAAACGGGCGCCAAGAACAGGCCAGATCTACTCCAGGGGGAGGGCGGGAGAGAGGGTGCTAAGGCCCGCGCCGATCGGCAAAACCATGAATAAGAAAGCGATCGCCACTACGGGAGACTTTGTGTTGTTTCGGGCCCCAGGTCCCTTACAGACCGATCTGGGCCGACAAATGGCGCGGAAAGATTGGGTCTGGGGCTTCCTCTGATGATTTTTGCGACGGTGCCATTTTCCTGCAACGTCGGATCTGAGGGTACACGTGCTAGCGTCCAGGAAGATCTTCGAAAGGCAATTGTTGTTGCCGCTTTCGGGCTCCAGGGGCCCTCGTCGAGCCCAGGGCCGTCAAAGACACGTTTCAGGATGAAGAACCAGCCCGCCCGGGGCACAGGGTCGGGCATCCTGGAGGAGGAGCTGCGGACAAAAACACGCACTGTGAGCTGGACGAGGAGATGCGGGGACAAAAAAAATAGACATGCGGAAATGCAAAACAAAAACACACGGTGATCTGGACGGGGAGATGCGGGGAAAAACGCAAGGAGCTGGACGTATGTTTTTCCGCATGTCCTCGTTCCGAAGTGGTTCTCAAATCATGGCCCGCGGCATGTGCGCGGCCAAGGGAGAGATAGGGGACGCACGAAAACAAAAAAGAAGGTGCGATACCATGGCCCTGGCCATGACATCGCCCCCCCCCCAAAAAAAAATCATCACCTCCCTCTCCTTCAGATCTGACGTTGCCAAAAAAACGCTGCAAATTACGACCGGAGCCCCAGCGCCCGTCTCTCTGCGACACCTCTCCGGGCTGCGGGGACTGGCCATCACCCCGCTCTGCGCCATCACGCCCCTATACAGCATTCGGCCTGACCTAAGGAACGGTCAATAAGGAACGAAGTCCTGTTTCCCAAGTAGGTCCAGGAAGTCCGAAGGAACACCAGAGGGGGACCCGCCGCCAAAAAGGCAGCGGAACGCACCCAAACCAAAGGAACGACCGAGCCCCTCTTGAAAAGTAGGTGCTCCTTCTTCAAGCCGGACCCTACACGTCATCACCCCACTACACGTCATCACCCCTTTGGACGCCCGAAATGGGCACGGCAAGAATGGGTGCACTGCCCAACAACAAATGTTGTCCCAAACCAACAGCGGCCGCTGTTGGGCAGGCGGCCTTCTGCCTCGAATGGACACAGGCCGCGGCGGCGCGGACAGCGAGTCCTGCTCAGAAGGAACAGGGACTGCTGTTGGACATTGTGCCCCATTCTTTCCGTGCCCACTTCGTTCGCGCAGAACCCCACCGAGTCGATTCTTGACGGGCCCGAGGCCCGGCGGGAGCCCCTCGGGGCCGAACTTCGCGGAAAACCTCCGTCTTGCTTTCTGCAATGCGTTGGACCTCTGGGGACGCCGAGGCCTGCGGGGCCGGTCCTCGCCACGCTGCACGCCATCGCCCCCCTCTCCCGGCCGCCCCCGGGCTCTCCAGGCCCGGCAGAGGCAGGTCCTCGGGCGGCCCATGCGGGGTCCGTCGAGGGCCCCCGGAGGCTCAACACTGCGGACCTCCCCCCGTCGTGGCCTTCCCACACAGAACCAGAGAAGCCAAGCTTCCCCATAGTTTCCCATCTGTTCTGGGTTCTCGTCTTCCCCCCCCTTTCCCCTATTTCCCCATCGTTTCCCAGGAGTCGACGATTACCAATTGTGTCAGTGAGTTTTTTTTCTCTCCTGACTTTTTCACTACGCGAGCACGTCGCGAGCGGGGGATCGACTACAACATTGCGACCAGCCGCGGTGGTTTGCCCGAGACATTCCTTGTTCGTATTCATCGTCATCATCATGGTTACAGCATTATCATTACTCGTCTGCTTATTTCATCCTCGCATTCCTTCTGCAGTTCTCTGTGCGTGCACGTTTGCGCGCGCATGCGTCTGACTACTGCGTTATCTGATGGCGAGGGCCAGGGCGAGGGAACTGCTGAGCAGGCTGCCGACGAGCAAATGATGGAGGGAGATTGCGAGAGAAAGAGAAGAGAGAAGAGAGAGAGAGAGAGAGAGAGAGAAAGAGAAATAGAGAGAGAGAGAGGGAGAGAGAGAGAGAGAGGGATATACTGATATAGGGGGATGGGGGTGGATGGGGGGGAGGGAGGGAGGGAGGGAGGGAGGGAGGGAGGGAGCGAGCGAGAAAGAGAGGGAGAGAGAGAGAGAGAGAGAGAGAGAGAGAGAGAAAGAGAGAGAGAGAGAGAAGGAGAAAGAGAGAGAGAGAGAGAGATAACAAGCTAGGTGCGCTCGCGCTACATCTGACATCCTACCCCTCCCTCCCATCCCTTTCCATGTCGCTAATTATGTGTCTCTCACCGAATCGGGCGTCGCACCGACCTTCATGCCTGGGAATGGAAAGGAGGGGGAGGAAACACTGCGCTTCCGACAAGCACGAAGCCTTGCGCTTCGAGGGGTCCAGAACATTGCGTTCCGACGAGGAGGAAACATTGCGCTTCCGACAAAGGAGGAAACGTTGCGCTCCCGACGAGGAAACATTGCGCTTCCGACGAGGACGAAGCATTGCGCTTCGGTGAAACCAGAACAATGCGTTCCACCAAACATGAAGCATTGCGCTTCTGACGAGGAGGAAACATTGCGCTTCCGACAGAGAGGAAACTTTGCGCTTCCGACACACAGGAAACATTGCGCTTCCGACGAATAGGAAACATTGCGCTTCCGACAAGCACGAAGCCTTGCGCTTCGACGGATCCAAGGCGTTGCTCCGACGAGGAGGAAACATTGCGCTTCCCACGGGGAGGAAGCATTGCGCTTCCGACGAGGAGGAAACATTGCGCTTCCGACGAGAAGGAAACATTGCGCTCCCGACGAGGACGAAGCATTGCGCTTCGATGGATCCAGAGCACTGCGTTCCAACAGTGAAAAAGTATTGCGCTTCCGACATTGAGAGGGAGAGAGGAAACGAGATAATGAGAGAGATATATAATAAGTGATGAGAGAGAGAGGGAGAGAGAGAGAGAGAGAGAGAGAGAGAGAGAGAGGGAGAGAGAGAGAGAGAGAGAGAGAGGAGAGAGAGAGGGGAGGAGGAGGTAGGTGAGGGAGGAGGAAGGAAAGAAAGGGAGAAGGGGAAAGGAAGGAGGAGAGCATGAACCTCCCACGTGACGGTGCTCCCGCCTGGGGGAGGGAGGGAGGGGGGAGGGAGGAGGGAGGGAGGGAGGGAGGGAGGGAGGAGGGAGGGAGGAGAGAGAGAGAGAGAGAGAAGAGAGAGAGAGAAGAGAGAGAGAGAGATGAGAGAGAGAGAGAGAGAGAGAGAGAGAGAGAGAGAGAGAGAGAGAGAGAGAGAGAGAGAGAGAGAGAGAGAGAGAGAGAGAGAGAGAGAGAGAGAGAGAGAGAGAACGAGAACAAGCTAGGTGCGCTCGCGCTACATCTGACATCCTACCCCTCCCTCCCATCCCTTTCCATGTCGCTAATTATGTGTCTCTCACCGAATCGGGCGTCGCACCGACCTTCATGCCTGGGAATGGAAGGGAGGGGGAGGAAACACTGCGCTTCCGACAAGCACGAAGCCTTGCGCTTCGAGAGGTCCAGAGCATTGCGTTCCGACGAGGAGGAAACATTGCGCTTCCGACAAAGGAGGAAACGTTGCGCTTCCGACGGGGAAACATTGCGCTTCCGACGAGGACGAAGCATTGCGCTTCGGTGAAACCAGAACAATGCGTTCCACCAAACATGAAGCATTGCGCTTCTGACGAGGAGGAAACATTGCGCTTCCGACAGAGAGGAAACTTTGCGCTTCCGACACACAGGAAACATTGCGCTTCCGACGAATAGGAAACATTGCGCTTCCGACAAGCACGAAGCCTTGCGCTTCGACGGATCCAAGGCGTTGCTCCGACGAGGAGGAAACATGGCGTTTCCCACGGGGAGGAAGCATTGCGCTTCCGACGAGGAGGAAACATTGCGCTTCCGACGAGAAGGAAACATTGCGCTCCCGACGAGGACGAAGCATTGCGCTTCGATGGATCCAGAGCACTGCGTTCCAACAGTGAAAAAGTATTGCGCTTCCGACATTGAGAGGGAGAGAGGAAACGAGATAATGAGAGATACATATAATAAGTGATGAGAGAGAGAGGGGGGAGAGAGGGAGAGAGAGAGAGAGAGTGAGGAGGAGGAGGGTGAGGGAGGAGGAAGGAAAGAAAGGGAGAAGGGGAAAGGAAGGAGGAGAGCATGAACCTCCCACGTGACGGTGCTCCCACCTGGGAGGTCCCAAAACGATGCTCCCGCCTGAGAGGTCCCAAAAAAAACATTCAAAACGAGGCTCCCGCCTGAGAGGTCCCAAAAAAACCCAAAGAAATCCAAGAGCAACCCCTCTCATCCCTGTAACTGTCCCAAAAAACAAAAAAACAAAGTTTCAGAGGAGAGCTCCCCCGCCCCCGCTTCCTCCTCTTCTTACCCGCCCTCTGGAAGATGACGAGGAGTTCTCCTCTGGAACTTTGGGTTTTTTGTTTTTTTTTGTTTTTTGGGACAGTTACAGGGATGAGAGGGGTGGCTCTTGGATTTCTTTGGGTTTTTTTGGGACCTCTCAGGCGGGAGCCTCGTTTTGAGTGTTTTTTAGACCTCTCAGGCGAGAGCTTCCTTTTGGGTGTGTTTTTGGGGACCTCTCAGGCGGAAACCTCGTTTTGAGTGTGTTGTTTGACGGGTAAGAAGAGGAGGAAACGGGGTGGACGAGGAGCTCTCCTCTGGAACTGTGGGTTTTCTTTCGCGAACACGGAATGTCTTGGGCAAACCACCGCGGCTGTGGGCAACATTGATGTATCCCAGACTTGGAGTTTTCGTGGATTCCATAAAGCCATGCGTAGATCGTTGGCAATTCTGCGACACACGTTCGGCACTTTTCGTTGATCCGACCTGTTGTCGATCTCCTACTCGAACGTCTGGGGGGAACCAAAAGGAACTGACACCGCTACTCCCTGGACCTCTCCCGGGGCGCGTCTTGACCAGAAGGTCGAGGCGAGCCCAGCGGTCGCGACGAAGGCCTCCCGGGAGGCGCAGTGGTGGGAATGCGGAGGAGGGGTCGCAGTACGGGACGGGTAGGTTTGACCTGGGACAGATAGGGAGCCCACAAAGAATGTACGCGCCCAGCTATGTACATGAACACGGCCCCTCGATCCGCGAGACCGGCCGCGTTATACGAACACTTGCGCAATGCGAACTTTCGAAACCAGCGTGGATTCATGTACACGTACGTCCTTTCAAAAGCATGCGACCCTCCGCCGGCCAAAACAGACAGAATCTCAAAGGGTGCCCTCCCTTCAGACGCACAAGAGCCTCCAAGCGAACGCGAAGAACATTAGTGCACCTTCCCCGAACCGACCTCGATCCTCTGCCTCGGTCCGACTGTGACTTTTCCTCCTCGGACGTCTGGTAGTCATCCGCCCTTATTTGAAGGGGCCCTGGGACGCACAAGTAAATAGACACAAGTAACCGGATCCCCCATATGTTTCAATATTTTCTGGGTTTTTGTCCTCCCCCCAGTTCCCATTTTCACATATTTTCGGGGGAATCGACGATTAATGGTGTCTGCGTGTTTTTATTCTCCTTCCTGACTATTGGCCGCCCCCGACCTGAGGGCCCCGACTGGCGGCCTGAGCGCCCCTCCCGCCAGCGCGGGCGCGGCCGCCGGCGCGGCCTCGCGGGCCGCGGCCGGGGGCTCCGCCTCGCTAGGGGTGGGGTGGTCGTCCGGGCAGTGCCTGTGGATTTCGCGATCGTCTTCGCGCTCCCTCGTCGTGATTCCAGAAGGAGAGGGAGGAAGAAAAGGAGGAGGAGGAGGAGGAGGAGGAGGAGGAGGAGGACATGGACATGGAGATGGGGGATGATGGCCGCTGATCTGGGGGCGCGAGTCGAGACGCGCGGCCCCAACCGCCCGCGCGCCCCGCGCGGGCACGGGGGTCCTGCGCCTCCGGCGGCGAACTCAGGACCCCCGACCACGGGGGCCCTGCGCCTCCAGCGGCGTGATCGGGGCCCCCGACCGCGAGGTCGAACGCGACCTGCTTGCCGTAGCCGTCGGGCCTCCGCCACCGCCCGCGCGGTGGAGCCTCTCGCCGTCCACGAAATAGAGCTACTGAAACCTCCACGACTTGAAGAAGTCGCCCATGAGCATGAGGTCGAACCGCGCAGCCTCGATGTGCTGGACGACTTCCGCTATCTCTACGCCGTCTCTGAACGCCATGTTGAAGATCCTCTCGGCCTCCGGCTCTTCCTCCTCCACCGTCTCGGAGTCCTCCGACTCCGAGTGCGACCCCTCCTTGTCGAAGCTCCCCACGCCGACGGAGAGCAGCTGCGCCCTCCTCTGCACGAACGGCTGCACCACCCGCCCGCGCCGAACACCAGAGAGGCCGAGCGAGGATCGGCCCGCTGCTGGTACTCCACCACATTGCACTCCACCGCCACGCAGATCTCGACCAGCTTCTGGTGCACCACCACCTGGCAGGCAAAACCAACGCTCATCTGCGGCGGCGCCTCCTTCACCGAGTCGTCGTCGTGGCAGCACTCTGCGACGACCTTCGGCTCTTTCTGCACCTTCACCTTCAACGTGTGCTTCTGGGACTCGGCCTTGCACCCGTCCGCCCGCGCGCAGTCTCCCCCGCCCAGCTGCTCCAGCAGGACGTCGACCGTGCCGCGGCTGGCGGGCGTCAAAGGCGCGGCCTCTCCCCTCAGTGAGAAGGCCTGCACCTTCAGCTGAGCCTCGAGGTCGCTGGCCTGCACGCCGAACTCCCGCGGCAGGGTCCCGCCAGCCGCGCTGGGTGGCGGCGCGTGCCTCGCCTGGTTGCCCAGCGCCAGCGCCTCCTCCGCCTGCTTCACCACCGCGCCTGGGCAGCCCAAGAGACGGTCGGCCGCCAGTCCTTCACCGAAGGACGGGAAGTGGCAGCCGAGCGTGTCACCGATGCGCCAGTGCGCGCCCAGCGCCACGCGAAGCGCCTGCGCCCGCCAAGCCAGGGCTTCGGCGCGAGAGGAACTCATCTCCTCGCGGCGCTCCCTGCGGAGGCGCCTGGCCAGGGACCGCGCGCTCGCGGCAGGAGGTGGACCCCCCAAAAGTGCCGGCCGTTTCCGCTTGTCTTCGTGCTCCCTCGTCGTGTCTCGAGGAGGAGGAGATGGAGGAGGAGGAGGAGGAGGAGGAGGAGGAGGAGGGGAGGAGGAGGAGGAGGAGGAGGAGGAGAGGAGGAGGAGGAGGAGGAGGGAGGAAGGGGAAAAGGAGGAGGAGGAGGAGGAGGAGGAGGAGAGGAGGATAAGAGGAGAGGAAGGGGAGGAGGAGGAAAGGAGGAGGAGGAGGAGGAGGAGGAGGAGGAGGAGGAGGAGAGGAGAGGAGAGGGGGGAGGGGGAAGAGAGAGGGGGGAGGGGGAAGAGAGAGGGTCGGACCAAGAAACAGTGCCTGCCGTTTCCGCTGTGGCTTCGTGCTCGCTCCTCGTGTCTGCGTTCCCGCCCTTGCGGCAGGACGAGCTCAGAGTGCCAACGAACCACGGAATCGACCAGACGCCGCTTTGGTCGAGCCTTGCGCCTCGCTGCCCGAGGCCGCGCAACTGGGGGTGGCCGTCGGGGTGCTGGCGCCGCTCGGGAGGCCCCTCAGCTGCTTCAGCTCCGCCTTCATGCCCGACACCTGGGGATCCACAAGAGGTGCAGTGGAGGCCCGAGCGCTAGAAACCTTCCACAAGACACCCAACCCTGAGAGCCCAGGACGCCCATCGATTTTTGGCGCGGGGACGTCACGCTTTCCATGGCAAAACCATCGAAACCCGAGAAACCCAGGGCACCCTGGAGGCAAGCAAGGTGTTTCTTGGCATGGGCCTCCACTGTATACGATCGGGCTGCTGAAATAAGGAATGCTAGAAATAAGGAACGAAGCTGCCTTCTGGCACCCAGAGGGCCTGGGTGCACGAGGAGGGCTATAGAGGAGCGACCAGGGGATGACCTGAGAAACAGCTCCGAATCCAAAGCTGTCCTTATTTCAGCGTCTTGGCTGTAAACACAAATAACTTTCGGAGGTCCGCGCGGATTTCTTCGATCGGCGCTGGGACCCCTTCCCTGGTGCCTCTGGCGACGCCCCTGGAGAGGAGCCCAGCGCCAATCCAAAAGATCCGCGTGGACCTCCGCGAGTTGCTGCCTATGCCTTTCTTGCTCCTCGAGACGCCTGTCTGCGCAGGGCCTCGACCTCGTCGTCCTGCTCCGCGCCCCCCGCGGATGTGCCGCCGTCGGTGTCCTCGTCCTCGCGCGCCGTGGCCTGCTGGTTGCAGACCCAGCAAGCGTACCGGTCCCGGGAGTCGATGGACATCTGGAGCTGCTTGACCTGGCGCCTCAGCTTCTCCTTCTCCGGGTCCCCGGCGGGCGCCGCCCTCTGGGCCTGGTTCTCCCCCTCCAGCTGCCGTATCTGCTCCTCGAGGCGCCACTTCTCGGAGTGCCAGGCGCCACTTCTCGGAGTGCCACTCCTCGGGGGCGGCCGATGAGGGGGGCGTCCAAGAGGGGGGGGGGGGGGCGCAAGTTATGGCCGGCGGCACGTGCGCGGCCCTGGGGGGGGGGAGGCAGGGGCGTGGTGACATGAGAAGAGGCGCCATGAGATGTGGGGGGATATCATGGCCCCCGCATGATCTCCCCCCCCCCTGGTCATCACCCTGCACGGTTCCCCCCGGGGCCATAGGCGACCCGAGGAGGAGGAGGAGGAGGAGGAGGAGGCGGAGGAGGAGGAGGAGAGGAGGAGGAGGAGGAAGAGGAGGAGCAGGAGGAGGAGGAGAGGAGCAGGAGGCGGAGGGGGAGAAGGAGGAGGAGGAGGGAGGAGGAGAAGGAGGAGGAGGAGGAGGAGGAGGAGAAGGAGGAGGAGGAGAGAGAGGAGGGAGGAGGGAGGAGGAGAGGAAGGAGGAGGAGGAGAGGAGGAGGAGGAGGAGGAGGAGGAGGAGGAGGAAGAGGAGGAGGAGGAGGAGGAGGGGAGGAGGAGAGGAGGAGGAGGAGGAGGAGGAGGAGGAGGAGGAGGAGGAGGAGGAGGAGGAGGAGGAGGAGGACGGGTCGCCTGAGCCCTTCGGGGAAACCCCCCCTTAGTCATCACCCCCCTCGTGGCCGCCCCCGAATGCCTCGCGCTCTGCGCGAATCTCGGCTAGGAGCTGCTCGGCCTCCATCTCGCGGCTGGCGCCGGGCGGCGTGCCCTCGCCGAGGGCGAGGCTGCGCGCCTCGCGCAGCGCCTGCCGCAGGGAGCCCACCTCGATTGCGAGGCAACTTCTGGAGGCCTCCTGGCTGGGGTCGGAGGATCGCGCCGCATCGTCGATGCATCGGTGATGCATCGGCGACGTCGGGGTGGAGCAAATCGGGAGCAGCATCGAGCCGCATCGGCGATGCATCGGCGATGCGGCACGATCCCCCGACCCCATCTACTTGGAAGTCTTAGGTCGGGCATGTTCCCCTTCAGGCGGATTTTTGACGGAAACTAAAACATACAACACGTGCTCAAACATACTCAGAAAAATCGAAACATCGTCCCCAGACTATCTTTTGACTATTCCCCCTGTAGAGGAACATGCTCGGCCTCAAGGGCAGTCCCAGAGGAAACCCAGGATTCACTCAGAGCGCGCGGGATTCGCCGGGATCAGATGGGACTACGCTGGTCTTCCGCCGTGGGTATGCCCTGAGGCCGGAGGCCGCGAACAAAATACAGCATTGCGAACCATCACCGCCCGAGCCCTGGACCCATCCTTCTGCAGCATTTTCAAGCCGGGCCGATCTGTGAGGGCCCCTTGGGCCCGAGATCGGACGGACTCGCGCGGCGCGAACAAAAAGAGCGACGCCAGGATCCCCAGGGACACGCCGGTGCCGATGCTGACTTGAGCCTCCAAAGAGTGGCACCCCACGGCCGGGAACTTCTGGACAGCGTGTCGCGGTGGCGGCCCCGGCGACACGCTGTGCTCTGCGAGCGGATGGCGTGTCGCTCCGCCCGGCGGGGCGGGAAGCTCGCGAAGGGCCTCGGGGCGTCGACGCCGGTGGGCCGCGAAGCGGGCGGCGTGTCGCGCCGAAGCGAGGTGGGCCGGAACCGGCGGAGCGACACGCGATCCCCAAGTTCCTCACCGTAGCCAGCCGAGGAGGAGGTCGAACACACAGGTGATTTGTTCGTACCCCGAGCACTTTTTGCGGCTCGTCTCGAGTCTGCGAGCAGGGCGCAGCAGATGCTCGTATGGCTGCGGGCATTCGTGCGCATCTGCTCGTAGACTCGACGACCAAATCACTAGAGCCTGTGGCAAAGCAGGTCCGTGGTCGATCCCCTACTCGAACCACCTCGAGGCTGCGGCGGCGGCGGCGGCGCTCGATCTGGAGCAGCCGCCGCTGGAGCCGCGCCAGGCCCCCCTCGGAGGCGCCGGCCCCCCGCTCGTGGAGCCTGCCCGCGGCCCGGACCTCGAAGCTCCTCGCGCGCGGGCGCAGATGTCCGACGATGCCATTCCTCCCGGCCACCCCGCCCTGAGCTGCCACGAGACGCGACACGCAGGACAACACGTAGTCTGAACACGTAGGTCTGACGCGGCACGTTCTCGCCAAAGCGTGGGCCAGTACGCCGAGCCAACACGCAGCATGTTCACACGGACGTTTCTAGCACGGCACGTGTTGCGTTTCAGATCGTGGGCCTAAGGGCAGCTACGGTCCTGTGGCGCTGGGTCCTCTTTTTGAAGAGACAGTCCCTGCGTCCTTCCTTCCCCCCTCCTCCTCCTCGTCCTCCCCTTCTCCTCCTCCTCCTCCTCCTCCTCTTCCTCCTCCTCCCTCCTGGTCCACACCGTTTCTCGGTACACCCCTCACGAGCTTCGCGGCAAGACAGGAAGTTCCGCCTGTGAGGCCTCGGTGGCCGCGCCCGCATGCCTGGTCCACACCATGTCGGCGCACACGTCGCACGCTTCGTGGCCCACTAAGGGGGGCTCCACCGAAGGCCCCCGTTGCAAGAATCGCAACGAGTGACCGCGCCCATTTCGGCACACCATTTACGCGTTTCGCTGTCCCCTAGGGAGCCCCACCAAGGAAGCCCCAATGGCAGGACTCGCGTGCGTGACCGCGCCCATTTCGGCACACTCGTCTCACGCTTCGTGGCCCTGTAGGGGCCTCCACCGAAAACCCCGCCGCCTACTGACCCCCAAGGCTGCGCCGACAGAGGCGCAGCTCATCCGTAATGGGCTACATCCAGATGTGACACTTTACTGCTGACCTCTGCGACCCCATGGGCAACGTCGCTCCGTCCATTTTACGCTCGCACCTTCCTTAGTCTCCACATCCCTCCGCCTCAGTTCTTTTCCTAGCACCTTCCTCCGCCTCCAGCAACCTTCCTCCGCAGTCGTCATTTTGCTGGCACCTTCCCTTCGTTTCCACCCCTTTTGCGGTACTCACACCTGCACATGGTTGGGCCCCTCGCCAGACTCGACCCCGCGCTTTTCTCAGATTTTGGCGTCTGGGGCCCATATCCTTGGGCCTGGGACCATCAAACTTGCCCTGGGGAGGTGGTCGGGGCCTCGGGGGCCGCGGACTGAGAACGTCACATCGGCGGCAGCAGGAAGCGGTACCGGTTCGCCATCACCGTGGCTGGCCAGGGCCACCACACAGGCATGCTGACGTCGCGAGAACATCACGACGGAAGGTCTTCGGATGCCTTCGGCCTCCAGGGGGCCCTTACCGGGCCCCGCTGGGCTGTAAAAAACCACTCGGGGTGAAGAACAGGCCCTGGAGAGGGGTCGGGATTTCCGGGGGCCCCGTGTGGACAAAATCCGCCGGCACTGTCGGCGTGTGCGGAGGGTTTGTCTGTTCGAGTCGTCATCTCCAACAGTCGTCGTCTGCGTCGTTCTCTTTCCCTGCACCCTCCTCAAGCCTTTCAGCCAGAGACAAACCTCGCAATGATGTCGTAATTAATCGAATCGAAGGGGAGCTCATTCCCTTTCATCCCTCCCCCGTCAGGGGGGTGGTCCCGGGCG